ATTTTTAACTTCCTTTTCTAAATTTATTTTCGTGCGTAGAGACAGACTTTCAAATCCCTTCAGCAGTGAGCCTAAGTGGTTTCAGAAACAATTCAAATGCAAAACAATAATATCCAAAGTTTGGAAGAAGGAAACATCAGTGTGTGATGTGGGAGGCATAACCAACAAAATCCCACAGAGGCTGACCAACCTAATTCCCAAATGCATTAACAAGATCTGAACAAGGAGTCACTGTTTGGGGAAGTCAGTAACATATCACAACATGAACCTCTGCCTGCCCCAAATGAGGACCAATTCTAAATGGGTGTTGCACAGGAGAGGGGATCACATGCCTTTCCTTACCAGACCTATTAACAATCAGAATCTTACCTCCCATCTGTTCCATTCGCTTATGTTTGAAGACATTGGGATTGCGAGCAAGTATTGCTTGCAGAAGGCCGGGTATATCACCTTCAATTTCATTACTGCTGGACTTGTCTTTCAGTTCACTGGGTAGAAAGGAATAAATGTCAGAGATCGAGCAACGTAAACACAGCATGCATTGAAAGAAAGATCTCTTTACAGACGAAAGAACACCTCTTTGCACAGTATCTGATGACATCCATGTACATGTACAACACTATTTGTACACAAAGTTTACTTCTGTTCCTTGAAAGACAAAGTTTCACCAACCCATGCCAATGATGTATTTACACCAATACAGATGCTTATTATTCAGCAACGGACATTTCATTTAATTCTACCATTGTTCTGCCGTTTAAAAATGTTTACGCACAAGCTTTCCAGTTTTCAGCAGGACAATTTATGAGAAAGCAGTTTGCTGCCTGTGGATAACTCTAAATAGTCCAAATAAAATCATTTAGTATATGACCAACTAATGAAAAATATCCAAAAAACAAAGTCAAAATACAAATGACAAAAACAGTAATTTGGTCTGATAACCTACATGTTGTCTGTGTTCGTCTGGCTGAGTGCATGTAGAAGCTGTGGCACCAGGTTTTCATCTTGCACTCCAAGAAGCCTCTTTGCTTCTTCGGCCACACGAGGGCTATATAACAAACCTTTGTTGTTGACTGTGCATGGTAGCGGTGTGGGAAGCGGAAGCTCCGTTAACACTGGGAAAGAGGTGACAAAAGTAAAAGGTTGAAGAAAACAAAATCTGGACGTTTGGTGTTAAAACTTTTGACCTCAAAGGCCGAGCAGTAATTCAATTTTGGAATGGGTCTACGAAGTGTAAACAGATATTTTCAGAAGAGAGATCATTTAAATTTCTTCATAAAATGATATCCAACCTCCATGTGAGTTCTGAACATTCTTTTCCAATTAGACTGAAGTTTTCACATATAAGGTAGTTTTTTCAGAGATGGGTTTTGAGTATTTACATGTGAGCTCCCCAAATGCTACTTACAGTCAGTCAGACTTGATATTCCAGACAAAGTTGTTATGGGGACACTTGGTACCTCTCCATTCATGACGACTTAAATCCAAAACAACCTCCTAACAAGAACAAAATAGTAGGAATATAGAATTATCACATTCTTAGGAAATCTTTGTTCCAAAATCAGCTTTGAAAACTGAAAGAGAACTTCACTTAGTTGAGCAAAAATTTGGGGCTGGGTCTTAATAAGCTAGCTTACTTCAAATTTATACACTTTGTGCCATCTTGCTTGTGAATGACTTTCACTCTACCTCACAGTGTTTAGAGGGCAACAGGAAGGGAGCTATTTCAGGATGCATGATGTCATTTTTCAGTGCTCCTCTGGTTCATGTAAGAATTCGTAAAAAAAATAGTATGAGACCCAGGCTGGATGAAGAGATGGTGCAATTTTCCTAGCAACGGAGGCTGCTTTGGTGGTAACTGCACATCGCTGGTTCACAAACGACTATAGAATGCATGCACTGCAGTCACATCACTACCAACATAATGAACACTCCCCACCAACATGACTCTTTTCAACCAATTAACATTAACTTGGGCAGCAAGAACCAAGAATACTCTACTGTAGCTGCAACATATGTCCTTAACAAAATTCCTAGAGGAAGAGAGCATATGACCTGAAAAATTCCAAGGATTTTGAAGTGAACACCTCAATATTTTCCTTGCTGAATTTGACTTTTTAGGACATATTATTACTTTGAGATGGCTAATAGGACACTTTAGGAAAAAAATCAGTGGCATCAGTGTATGGAATTCTTTCTGAATAATCAACTCAGGAGGGAGTGAGGTCAATTTGCATAAGAGCCAAGATTGTGCCGACCAACAACACTGGCAAAAAAGTGGCAATATGATCGATGATGCTGCTAAAACACTGTAAAAACAGGAACAAGCATGTCTGACAGAGACTGATGTGACCAATGAATGATTTGCAAACAAATAAGTCCAGGGTTTGTATGCTGACAGTATATCCATCGTTGACACAGCTGACATTTGACTCTGCTAGTGTGCCAAAAAAGCATATTCCTGGACCTACTTGTCATGCTTGTGGGGTTATGTCTGAGAATGAAAGTGTGCCCTGAAAGCTGCAGCCGAAAAATTTAATTATTTACATTTTCTTCATTATTTAGGACCTATACGCCAAGGGCACTTAGTGACTTGACACAATTTATAAATCATAGATCATTTGCCTAACCTGCTCATACTTTTGTAATAGATCAAACACCAACATGGCCAAGTCCTCTAAAGTAGGACAAACTTTTTGTATTGAAATGTTGAATGACATGACTAGCCAGTTGGCCCATCCATTTGCATGGGCTTGGAACGAACCAACGAGGAATAGACCCAGCAAATTTTCCTAGTAGGCCTACTGCACTAAAGCATGTAGGCCTTCAAGGAAGTTCACTATTTTTTGGACATGATGTGATGGCCATGCACGGAACCATGGAGGAACATGGTAGAAAATGGCCAAAGTAAAAATAATAAGCTTAGGCCTAGACCTAAATGAAAATCAGCAATTCTATCTTAGGCCTACGACTCTCATAATCATGGCCTAACATTAGCCAAGTTAAACGGAGGCTAAATTTTTTGTTGACAATCAATGATTCATCACGTTCGTCCTTCCATGTGCCCCCCCCGACCAGGTATATATGTAGCCTAGTGTAGGGCCTAAAGTTAGGCTTATTCTTAATCCTACCTCTTTGCCTCGTCTACGAGACTAACATGGAAAAATCATGCAAAGTAATAACACCAAACAACTCAAAAATAATCATTCATGGGCTAATTTTTCTTCAAGCCAATTTGCAAATGGTCCCTCCCAGCGGTCAGCGCGCGCTGCCCTCACATCACCAAACATGCCAAAAGGAACAAAATAACCAAATATGACACAGATCCTTACCCTTCTATGGTGATAATAAAGCAGCCACTTTGGCCAGAAGTATTACCATATGAAAACTTACGCCAGAGAGGCATCAAATCCAAACAGGATATCCCGAGAAATAAATCTGAGGCCACTGAAAAGTGACTACATTGTCGCGCCAAAACAAGAGAAATTTTTATCACAACTCAAATAACATGCAATTTGGCCTTTTCATTAATTCTACGCAGAAAAGTAAATCAGAAACTACAACTCGTCTCCACATAAAAAAGAAATAATTAGTACTTAATCTCGATATAAAAGCCTTATTTTGAAATTATTAAGGGTATTTTAATGTCAAAACAGGCTTATAAATAGAAGATAAATTCACAAAGGAAACTGTTTGTCGTCGCGTATGAATACAACATGGCGTCCCCCATTAATTTTCTCTTGACACTGGTACGGTGCGCTCGCGCTACGGGCAGCGAACGTACATGTTGTACAGTGCATGTACAGTACGTGAACATCTACATGTACCCGTACATGTACATGAACATATACATGTACATGTGCAGTGTACATGTACTGTACATGTACGAGTCGCATCGAGTACATGTACGTACGCGTACGTGTATACCCAGCGCTGTAGATGAGAGTTGAATATCGATACAGAGGCGAGACCTCGCGAGAGCCCCCCCCCTCAAAAAAGCGTGTCATTTTTCAATGACACATAGAGCAGTGTGTCGTTGCTCTGTGAATGAATAAAACCAAATCAAAGGAGATTGGGGAGTGAACCAAAAGAAGAAAAAAAATATTACGAAGAGCGATTCATCAACAATTTGACCAGAATTTTACACAGGTAGGCTGGGGAATTCATCAATGACTCTACGCATGACCCTTAATTAAATATACCAGTCTATCATTCACCTCAGCTCATCTAATAAACAAGCTTTATTCGCTAGTATAGCTAGTATTTGATATGTTCGGTTCTTTTGAAGATTTTTCATTTTTGTTTCTTAAGCCCAAAAAACTACAAATCACGACGCTCCGCCCCCTCTTTTGGCTAAATTTAAACTTTACTCAGTCAATAAAAATGCCCTATATTTCTATCGTTCCTTTATAGTCTGCTTGTTTCAAATAGTTTTCTGAGTTATCTCTGTTGGTTTATTTTATAAAACATTTTTGGGTTCTCAGTTTATAACAGATGTCATTTTGTAGAGCTGATTGAATTCTGAAGCAACGATTGTTGGTAGCTTTAAGATTACAAGATTAGATCAAGTTTATGTTCAGCTCTAGTTTGCAGGCTGCGCTAGCGGATGCTGTGTGGCGATCTGGGTTGTTTATCCTACTTTGTACTTCACCCACAATGTTTCGAAAGGCGTTTCACACGAAGTCTAACATAGCCATTCGAGGTTCTGACAGGTACAAGTTTTGTCATCATTTTCCTTGTCCTTAATTTTGGAAAGCGTTCACACCTTTTCGTTGTAAACCATATGGTGATCAAATCCCGGCTAGTTTTGTGAGGGCGCCCTACTGCTGCACGCGAGGCATCGATCGATTGCATGAGACCCGTAAACTCATCAATCGGACCTGTTTACGGGTCTAGGATTGCAAGGGGGGGTGATAGGCAACATGTACTTGTTTATTCACTGTAAATCTTTATGAAGAGTAATGTTTAATTGACTGGCTGTGTCACACTAGTTTTAGCCTACCCCACTGCCATACCACCGGCTAATTTCTTGAATATATTCCAACATGATGGATGTTAATTATGGACATGGACAGTTTGTCTTTTACTTTAGTTTCACAACCCAAGGTCACAACGAAGTGAAGAAACAGATAGGGCCTACACTGGTCACGAAGCTTCCAGATGTTACTCCCTGAACTGTGTGGTTGGTCATTTCCAGAATGCATCGGATGACAAAACCCATTGCTCTGGGTACCCGGATGTCCCAGAAAGTTGTGTCCGGCCATACACATGTGTACCTCACTGATTTACTTTCCCAATTTGTTGGGAATAAACAGACTCATGACTAGGCTGGTTCCCTCCATCCCAAAGGCAGGTTGTAGTGTCCTTGAACCAACAACTGGTGAAATGATCAAATCTGGATCCGTTTGAAACTAATAGGCTCCAATTTAGGTGTATGATTACCATCAACATGGTCAGGACCCTCCTGCACCCCCCCCCCTAATTGCTTGATGATTTTATTCACAGTTCATTGATAATTCCATCACCAGCCAGTGGCCATTTTTTTTTCAAATCAGAGGTTGGATGAATGGTTCAAAAAAGAAAGTGAAGTTTGAGATTTCATACAGAACATGGAGGATCATCCATTTACCTAGAGCAATAATGCCAATCAGCTGTTTGGAACCAACATCAGTACTAGAAAGTTAGTTTGTACACTAGGTAACACTGTCAATTTCCTGATTGCCTGATGAATCATTAAGCAAATGATCTTGTACTGTATGCTTAATCTATAAACTCGAAGCTTAAGAATTTAGATACAACGGTTTCTTATTACAGACCATGCATATCACAAAACCTTTATAATTTAACAAATAAAACCATTGAAACTACAGATGTACAGAGAATCAACCAGGGAAGCTGTTATCGTCG